AAATCTTGATGGCCAATAAATAAACGTATAATGCAAGGGCACAAAAATTTAATAAGATAAAAAATATGTATTTATAACATCAACGTATATTTATGAAGCAAGTTATGTCGTAAGTCCACATAATGTAAACTGCATGAAGCTGATTGATAGTGGAGTAGAGATAAGAGATCTCCGCCAGTGAAACTTTTACCAAAATATCATAATAAATTAATGGACTTAACCATATGATAGCTATAATATAATTTATAATGTATCAAAGTAAAAAAATTAAGTATCTTTAATAATTAGTTTCTAACGAGAAATTACAAAATTAATTAAATATACTGCAAATTAAGAAAATACTGAAATGTCAGAATTACTAGTAAAAAAATCCGTTTTACTAAATGGAATTAACACAGATTAAAGAAACCATATACATACTGAAGTACTATGTTCTCATTTTCATTGAAATAGTTCCATTTAACAAATAAAGTCATAAAATTTATTAACAATTGAGTACAAATAAAAATTATTTCCATACGTTCAAATTTATCAATTGACGAGCGCTTAACTATAATATTAAGAAAAGTGTCGTTTATTGAAATAATAAGAAATATCCAAATCTACGATAACACTTCTTGAATAACATAGCATTATCATAAATTATATTTGAAACTATTTTATGTAAATGCATTAATACTTTCAAAATCTATCTTTCATTGAATATAAATATATTGAATGAAAGGAAAGTATATCAGGAAAAATGTATCATGATATTAGACGAATGAAATAGATATTTTCATAGTTATAGTATATTCATAGTTTAAATTGCTTGTTCTTGTTTTTGTTACAAACCATCAGTTGTACATACATTAAACGAAACAGTGTAAATGCAAATATTTCATTAAGGGAGAGCAACAAATGAATAGGAAAAAAAATCTATGAATATAAAGCATTAAATTTTGTTTGAAATTAAAAAAAAAAAAAAATAGTTTATAATTTAAAATGGAACAAAAATAATAAATGACGAGATAATTAATATTTATAGAAAATCTATGATTTTACTCTTTCAATAGAGCATTGTAACTTCATTTACAATGTTTATAATGAACCGGAATAATAATATAATTTGTAGTCGTATAAATGCATTATAAACTGTCAAAATCAAAACAAACGTACAATGCATAGTACGTAATTTAGAATTATAAAGAATAAGAATGTAAAATCTTTGAAAATAATATTCGTCCAATAATATTTACGACGACATAAGATGATAAAAGCCAAGTTCATAGGAAATGACAAAATAAGTGAAAAAAAGCTTTATGCCTCAGTTAATAGTTCAACAGATAACTAAATCATATGGATTAGCAGGTAGCTCGAACGGGAAAACAAAGGACATATATTAAGCTTTAGTAAAAAAGAAAAAAAATAATAAAGCAAAAGGTCGATTAATTTCTTATAGAATAGAAAAGAATTTCTAGGCTTGAAAATAATAGAATATATTCAAGTGTCTTAATTCATTCGGAACAAATTTTTAAAAAAGTCTATTGTTCATATACTGATTAAGTGATGAGCATTATAATTTCTATCGATTGCGTAATGATCATGTTAATTTATGTAGTTCGATAATATGATAGGTTGAGATAGAAGAAATCAGAACAAATTTATTACGACTATGATTAAGAACTATAAATCACGAGCATTCATCGAAAAGTTTTAAATTATAAATTTCCGATAGACTCGATTTACCGATGCTATCCAGGAAATATCTCTTCGCTCGAAACAAAACTTTCTTCATCAATAGTTTTGCAAAAGTATTTCTCCCCGAAACGGCATATCGGGAAATTGAATAACGAAAGCCGAAAAATTGAAAATATCGTATCGGAAATGTCGATAACTCACCTTCTTTTTTCTTGTTTACGTTCTTTCGTTTCACAAAACGCAATGACTAGACCACAGTTACATTAAAAATACAATCCATTTCGTATCGTAAATGCGATGTCCATTGGGGAAACTTGATCCATTTACCACTATACTATGCAGAGTTAAAATAAAATTTTTCCAATTTATGTCCTATTATCGTTTCATTAATCTACATGTAGAATACAGTTGATTAAACATTATGCATTATGCTTAATACAGTTAAATGTGTAAGTGTAAGATGTATTGTCAAGCGTCATTCGCGTATAAGGAAAAATGAAATTTGAATTCATTAGCGCATAGGATACGAGCTCGAATATCCTATTGATATTTATAATTGATTTCACTTCGCTCTTAGTCCTGTAGAATTTCAGCATCAAATGCATCGATTCAAATGTATATCGGAGTATCTCGCGATGCTAAGTCAAAGGTATATTGACTTTTGCTAGTGTACAGTCCAACCGAGCAGAAAATGACGTAAAATTATTTACTCTGCTTCAATGAATATTAGATTGAATATCTTTTATAAAAGTACTGACTAATAAAATCCTTCTTCCGGTACTTTGCACCTACCTTGCAGTCGATGCTAATTCTCAGACTAATTGACTGTTACAATAGTTTAGAAAGTTCAATTGTGAAAAATTAAGGAACGTATTTATACTTCGCATCTAACATTTCCAAATAAATAAAATTTTAAAACAGACAAAATAAGCTCATTTATTATTAATAATTACGACATCAGTGTATAGGAATTAATTTTATATAAGCATAAAAACTTGTTATGATAAAATAAATTATAACATATCACTCGTATAAAGTCAATTGTTTTAACAGTCCCTAGTAATGTAAACTTCTTAATGTAATATTTTTGACATCAATTTAGGATTTAAAAAATGATTATTAATTTAATTAATAATCTTTATAAAATTTCATTGAAGATAAATGTATGAGAAGCTCGAATAATTAATTGCAATTGCAAGAGTTATTAAAATAAAATATAAATAATTTTTTATGGTAAAACTTATTAAATTAATTAAATATTCATTAATAACAAATATTTAATTAACTTCTCTAAAGGAAATTAATCAAGAGTCAGAGAAATATCTAGAAATCATAACCTACTCACATATATTTATAACGAAGCCCTATGAGGGCCGTATGAGTTATAAACAACGTTACCTCGAATGAAACATAAAAATTTTTTTTTTATTGCAAATAACTGGGAACTTAAACGATTGCGTTTTAATGTTGACTGTTCACCGTCCAACATCACCAAAATAAGAGGCCATTGTGTTTAGTTACTAAAAGAGCACTTTCTTTCCTATAAGCATAATATTAATAATTAAAGTCCTTCAATTTGAGATTATACGTTTATTGTGATATACTACAATAATATTCTATATCAACTTAGCAATTACTATGATAATGATACAAATGAATCTAATAAAAAAAAAAAAAAAAAAAAAAAAAAAAAAAAAAAAAAAAAAAAAAAAGAATAAAGTCAATGTAAGAAAAGAACAATAGCAACAAAAATTCAGATAAGCAATATTCATTTATTGAAATTTATATCATTATAATTGCTGTAAAAAAATACCAACTCGTATAGATAGAAAATCGATATTGATCATAGTACACCATTTTTTTTTTATAATTACAAATATATATTAGCCGTTTTGTTGTTGACTTTATTAAAACCAATAGAAGCTATTTACTTTATCTAAATTGAATTAAGGCTTTAATAAATAAATTGATATAAACATATTATTAGCTATTCCGAGTGATTTATCCAATCTTTTGATTGATAAAGTAATATATAAATCTTTCGCTTAATATCCTATAAATATCAATTAGATATTCTTTTTATCTTGCAACATATTTAAATTTATCGGAAATATTACAATATTATTCCGATCCTTTCAAATCATTAAGAATGACTGATGTATTAAAATGATTATCTCACAAATAAATAATCATATTTTCTTCGTTAATATATACGTCAAAAGCTAATGTTGATGTATATAAGCTTCTAGTGTTCTTTAAAGTAAAGTAATTGCAAATGACACAGTAAATAGCCATTTCAATTAAAACTGTAATAAAATTTCAAATCCATATAATATGAAAGGTAAACTATTATATTGGTTTAATATTATCTTTATAGATTGGCATTTTAGTATATAAAATGGCAAATAAACACATATTTTTATGAGTTGGCTCTTATAATACATGTAGTTACTTTTTTTTGTTTTTTTTTTATTTTGTTTTTTTTTTGTTTTTGTTTTTGTTTTTGTTTTTGTTTTTGTTTTTGTTTTTGTTTTTGTTTTTGTTTTTGTTTTTGTTTTTGTTTTTGTTTTTGTTTTTGTTTTTGTTTTTGTTTTTGTTTTTGTTTTTGTTTTTGTTTTTGTTTTTGTTTTTGTTTTTGTTTTTGTTTTTGTTTTTGTTTTTGTTTTTGTTTTTGTTTTTGTTTTTGTTTTTGTTTTTGTTTTTGTTTTTGTTTTTGTTTTTGTTTTTGTTTTTGTTTTTGTTTTTGTTTTTGTTTTTGTTTTTGTTTTTGTTTTTGTTTTTGTTTTTGTTTTTGTTTTTGTTTTTGTTTTTGTTTTTGTTTTTGTTTTTGTTTTTGTTTTTGTTTTTGTTTTTGTTTTTGTTTTTGTTTTTGTTTTTGTTTTTGTTTTTGTTTTTGTTTTTGTTTTTGTTTTTGTTTTTGTTTTTGTTTTTGTTTTTGTTTTTGTTTTTGTTTTTGTTTTTGTTTTTGTTTTTGTTTTTGTTTTTGTTTTTGTTTTTGTTTTTGTTTTTGTTTTTGTTTTTGTTTTTGTTTTTGTTTTTGTTTTTGTTTTTGTTTTTGTTTTTGTTTTTGTTTTTGTTTTTGTTTTTGTTTTTGTTTTTGTTTTTGTTTTTGTTTTTGTTTTTGTTTTTGTTTTTGTTTTTGTTTTTGTTTTTGTTTTTGTTTTTGTTTTTGTTTTTGTTTTTGTTTTTGTTTTTGTTTTTGTTTTTGTTTTTGTTTTTGTTTTTGTTTTTGTTTTTGTTTTTGTTTTTGTTTTTGTTTTTGTTTTTGTTTTTTTTTTTGGTTTTTTTCAACAAAAGGATGAACTTATTTTCTGTTACAGGCATTGTACCAGTGATTATATTGCCGTTTACGCTGGACCAACGACTAGCAGTGCCGTTCTAAAAACACTCTGCGGAAATCAGACGGGTAGTGTCGTTCATATTGGAAAAGATCTTCTAGTCGAATTTCGGTACTTTGTCATTTATTAGAATATTTATTGTAAAGTCGTTGTAACAATTAAAGCCATTATGATGATTAAGAGGAAATCAAAATGATAGAATAAATGTAATTACAGAAACATTTTCCTACGAATATTTATCGTACTCATAACTCGTTGCTAATGTATGGCAAATGCATTACATATTATTGATTTTTTTTTTTTTTTTTTTTTTTTTTTTTTTTTTTTCAAAAACTTATCGAAAAATTAATAACGAAATTTTAGCGACACAAATAGATTTTTAAAAATTTATATTCTAACTTAAAATCTATATTTAACTTACATTATTACTTTATATTTATAGTATAATGTGAAATAACAGATATCGATAATGTTAGAATGCATTAAGTTCATGCATAACATATTCGAGATATTCCATAGTGTAGCGAAAGCACCTAAAACGTGCTAAGATGAAACGTGTTCCTTTTACTAAATATAACAATGGAATTTTTCTCATTTAAAATCATCGGTGTTCCTCTTCAAGATAAATTCAACATATATATACACACACGCGCGCGCGTATATGCATGTATCTATGTATAAATATTTAAACGTTTTACAAGTTTGAGAAGCTTGTGATGTAAATGTTGTTTACGATTATGTGAACAATTTTGATCGACATTGTCCTTTTATCACAAAACTTTAAACTAAATTGTAATATTCAACATTTAAAATAAATTTGAATACTCGTTAGTGTATCTAAAATTAATGGAAATTGAAATGTATATAATGAGCCTTGTATACATAAAATAAGCAATAAATACTTTTAATTCGAATAAAATGAAGGATACTATTGTGGGCATTATAATGTCGCAATTGACTATATTATTTTCACTATTTATAAATCTATATTTAATAATCATGCGTATTTGAAAGTTGAGAAAAATAAACATATAATTTACGGCAATATTAACAATATAATCATAATAGTAATCGTAATATTAACAGTATAAAATTAAATGCGGTTGAAGAAACTACTTCTTTATTTTATTCCGTTCACATTCAGCTGCTCTTCTCTGTCATGCGAAATTGTTTTACTTTAAAAATACATAGCCTAAAAGCATGAGTAAATATCATCGAGTAAAACCTCTAAAAAAAATTATCTTAAAAGCTCACCGAATGAAAAATGTATTACTGTTATTTAAGGGGTGAATCCAGTCTTTCAACATTGTTTATCGCCCTATTAAATTGACGTACAGTATTTGACAGTTGCTGTAGCTTAAGAACTTTTATATAAAGCTATTTCGTGTTTGTAGATCCGGACCGGAAGTTGATCCATTCAACTATAATGGCTTCGTTGCAACGCTGAATTTTGTGGAATTGACAACAGAAGTGCCCACTACGACAACCGTTGAAAGCACGAGCAAAGACGGTAGGAAAACTCTACATACTACTATCAACATTACTATTCGGTATTATCACTGTTATTTTTATTTACTCTTTTTCTTTTTTTTTATACTTGTCATTGCATTTCAGTGCCAGTAATAAATTCATAAAGTAAATTAGTGACGTCAACGTTGCAAAATTTTCATTTCTCAAATTATTATGTATAATTCTAATCGCATCGATTCGATTGTTCATTTCAAAATACAGTCGAATTATAATTATTAGAAATTCGCTGATGCTATTTGCCAAAAAATAATTTACAAACGATAATTTATCATTTTTTCCTATTCTTATCTTAATAACTTAATACAAACGGCACTGCACTCCAAATGCTTGGTACCACGAAATTGCTACTATTTCTAACTTATCAATAACAAGCGTCCAATTATCAATCTTCAAATTGCGATTTTTAACCTCATAAACGCTTTCGTTAATTTTTTATAAGCGATTTATCGAGAATATGTTTGATAAAGGTACGTGGACTTTCTCAATACTGGACTGCAAAATGAATTTGTACCAATGAAACGGAAAACTCATACCTTAACCAAAGCAAAACTCTCACTCAATAGCCAAACATATATTCTCCGAGATAGCCTTTATTCTCTCTCTCTCTCTCTCTCTCTCTGTCTGTCTGTCTTTGCCTTTATCTATATATCACGCTATCCCTTACTACTGTCTCATAATTGTATAATCATGGTATTCGGCAAGTTAGTTGGCAGCTAATCGATGAACGCGTCGCAGGCAATTTATATGCCGTTCGATTAAAACGTCCATCAGCGGTTACAACTAGCACGATCCGAGCCACGTGAAGCTCTGAGTCGCATCCTCGACCGATCGAGTCTCCGACCCATCCAAAGAAACAGGCGCATCAAACTGCCGAGAAAGTATCGCCCTCGAGAGAGGACGTAAAATCGATCGCGCGAGCCCCGCATCTTACCAACCCCACGAGACACCACGAGCCCAACTAACCACTCACCACAAGTACTCGTTATATGTTACAGCGGAGGTGTTTCGCTCGAGCACTACGTCGGCCTTGAGCGAGCCCCCAACGGTCGTCCAACAGCAGCAGCAGCAGCATCATCATCATCATCATCAGCAGCAGCAGCGCCCGGGCTTCACTTCCTCCGGTTGCGACGTCGAGGTGAACGGCGAGCGGTTGCGAACGGGCTCGCACACGACCCGCGGCCGCACCGCCTCCAGCTCCGACAGTTGCCGCCTCACCCTCCTGGGCCGCGATTACGACACCGTCCACGTATCCGTGCCCGGTTATGCTCTCAGGTACGTGCGTAAAATCCCTCCCCTCCCACAACCCCCGTGGGCTTTTTCGTAGGGCCTTGCGGCAGCGATGACTCGGCCTCTTTCGGTTTAACCTCCAATTCCGCCGCCTTCCCAATAATTTCTCTCCGGCTCTTTTAGCCGCCGCTGTCGCCGTCCTTGTTCCGCTCCGGCCCCGGAAACTGCTCGTGCGACGTTCGCGTCTGTACGCCGAAGCTCAGGTAACAGATGTCTTGGTATCCCGGCTTTGGATTACATCCAAAATTCATGACTTATGTGGCAAAGGAGAATTTTACTCCATTCGGCTTTTTTACAAACTCGATTGACTAGGATTTTTTGAATTTTATTTATTGTTTTCGAGCGTAATGATAGATAAGCGTGCCAAGGATGCTTGAAAATACTTCGCTAGCCAAGATAAAGGGGGAAAAAATTTAGCGATAAATGTTGCGGATCGATGCCTCTTTCCCCCCGACGCCCTCACGAGTGCGCTTAACTTCATTTCCACGTTATTTATGATAGCGAATAATCCGTCAATGTAACGCATTAACAGTTAAATTTGGAAAATCGATTTTTATTTTAACTCAAAAATTCTCTCCTAATAATAATGTTTAAAATAATAAACTTGTTATATATACTGGCATATAATAAATTTCCTACATAAGGCAGGTGAAATTATTCTCCTAGTTGTGGTTATGCGCTCATTACATCTGCACATCGACTTTTCTTACCTTTTCAACGATGATTTCATTTTAAATAGATTTTCATAATACATTAAAACAAGATCACCAACAGTTTTTTTTAAACAAAATTGACAAATTTTATTTAAGGAGAAACATTGCTTATTGAAAATAAAGAAAGAAAGATGGAAATGTGACCAATGAATGAAATGTACCGCATGAATGAAAGCTTTTTATTACAAGTTCGAATTAAAATTTTTTAAGTTCGACGTTTGCGTGCCTTACCTCTTTCATGCTTAAATTTTTAATTGATCGACCGCCGAGTTGTGTAAGTCATTTGGTCTCAAAAATGCCAAACGTAAAGCGACTGTGTGATAGATTCTTAATGATGAAATCGGGATTGATGACTAAATTCAAATGAACAACTTCTTCAACGTGAATTATTATCCTATCCTATCCTATCCTATCCTATCCTATCCTATGGTGAAATAGACGCGAAAATCTTTCTTCGCTTCTCTTACGAGTCTGTTTCGTGAAAATTTATGTCCATCCGGTCAAAGATCGCGTAAATTATACCAATGGGAAATTGTCGAATTTTTTTTTTTTTTTTTTTTTTTTTTTTGGTCTTTTCTTACTTTTGTTATAGTGGTAATAGGCTTAATCGTCCGTTTTCTCTTTTGAAGGAAAACTTTTTCAATTTGTCACCGTTAAAAAGTTTTGGATGAAAAATAGTTTGAACTTGCGGCCTAGACAAAAAGCTTTTTAAAAATAATTTAACAGAAGTTCTATTGATGTCCCTGAAAATTGGCTTTTGAAACGAATATGCAAAGTTACAATCAGTTCTTTTCATATCTTTATTCCAACGCTATAGAATCATAATAAAACTTATATGAAAAATATAGGATCTTTTAATATATATACAATTTGTATATATTATGATTGATTGGACATACAATTATCCTACCTAAATAACAACTGAAGCTTTCTCCATTATAAGGAGATTGAATTTTGCACTTGTATGCACGATTAATCATCTTAAATATTTGTAAATGCTAACAGCTTTTTTTTAGACTCGACATTACTTTTTATTGCAATTATCAAGATCTCATTATCTTCTCAATATTACTTTAACTGGCTTCGTTTATTATCTACAACGATATCACTCTTTTTCTCAATATACAGGATCGCGTTAGTTCTGAGTAAAATCACGACCGTGCACATAGTAAAAAACAAAAGCAAAAAAAAGATAATATCGAACGACAAGACGTCGTACGTAGAGGAGTTTACGATGTACGCGACAGAAAAGCCATAAAGGGTCAGTCGAGGTACAGCGAATGTACGAACTAGAAACTACTTTCGTTTCCTCGTCCCTCACTACGAAATATATAAGAGTGAAAGAGAAGATGAGAAAATAGGAATGGGGGCGGCGGGCAGGAATCTGAGCAATAGTGAGACGGAGATCGAGATGAAGACGATAAAATGTTTACGAGATCGATAGCGATCAAAAATTAATTTTAATGAATTTATCGATATTAATAAGTAGAGCGAGTAAAAGTTCTTTTCTTTTTTCTTTTTTTTTTTTGTAATTCTATGAATTCTGAATATAAGTAATAATTAATTACTTATTTTTAAAATATATTAATAAATTATTTATTATTAATCAATCATTATCTCATCGAGAATTATGAAATGTATGCTTGACAAGTATGTCTGACAACGTGTAAACTGAACTACTTGTTCAATTTCAATGTATGGGTCAATGTATCTGGAAAAATATTCGTGTATATTTATATACCAACTCATGGATATCCAAGTGCATGTATACTTAGGCACTATTATTACAAAACACACATAAATACGTTCTATTTATTATGTGCGTAGCAATCTGTGTGTCTGATTACGCGGGCACTCGTGCTCGCTGGCAGTCCGTGTTTGTATGCATGCGTTTGTGCTTGCGCAAGACCGAAAGCTCGTAAAAGAAAGCCAATCAGTTTAGGAAACGGAAAAAGGAATCTGAGAGAGTAATTGACAAGATAAACAAGTTAAAATGTACACGTGTTTGCTCGGGCGACGTTTGCCCAAGCCAAGTGTGTAATTAGCTCTCTTATGAATTGCAACAAGAACATTCGCAATACATACATTAATGTTTCTTCATTTCTTTCTTCTACACTCTTCTGGCTATTATTTACCTTCAAATGGTTGGCTCATTTAAACAGCTGGTACAAAGAGGAGTGCACATGTGCGACACATTAGATTTTCATTTCGACGTTTCCAATCATACAAAAATATGCATCGTTATTTTTCTCAATTATTGATCAGACGAGGAGGCGGTACTCGATCAAATTATCCGTTCTTGAACACACTTAATGTTAATCGAAATTAATAATACGAATTGAGAGTGAAATAATTAGAGCATACAAAGAGAATTTTTAATTTAAGATTCATAAAAATAAAAAATAAAATTTGTCGTATTTGGCGGTAATAGTAATGGCGGCAGTTTTTTCATTAATTATACAATCGAAACGCTATGTATAAGAAAACTATGAATAAATCAAATAATGAGGCAATACAATTATATACTTGAAATTTATATTGCATTAGAAAATAAATAAAAATATTAGTAGATTTTTATAAAATTAATGATTTTTAGTGACAGTTTTTTTTGGATGATTTTACAATTCTTCAATCTACTGAAACAGTAACGATAATAATTATAATTATAATAATAATAACAACATCAACAATAATAATACTTGTAATAAATAAAATAATCCACTGCAATGGTATCATTAAACATTTTCATTAAAGTATCTTCAATGTTCGATAAATTTCATGTTCAAAATAATAACGAAAGATAGGATAACTCTTGAAATTAACGGCAATGAAAAAAATTCAATAGGAAATTCGTTCGATGTGAATTGTTCATTGAACATACTTCATCCAACATACTTCCCAACGCATTACCGTAAATGCTTTTTATGCAAATGGTTCTTTTGTGCAATTATAAAGGTGCATGTACGACTGCGCGCGAGAATTAGAGAGCATATCGCCATCGAAATGACGCCTGCTCAATTTTTCTCAATCTGGGGTAACTTGCAGAACCTGGCTCAACGCCACCTAACGAACCTAAATTTGCGTTGCCCATTCGACCAGCCCTTTTCGCCTTCCAGACGATTCGTTTCTACTGCTCTAATTTTTCTCCGACTCTACGATACGACGTACCTTTTGCAACCGCAGAAATTAATGTCACTAGAAGTAAAATACAAATTACATGCGCGGGAAATCGATTATTTGTGTGTCGATAGGTAGAGTTCCCCTACAAATTTATACACATAATACATTTAAAAAGATATTGTAAAATTAAGATACATTGTCAAGAAAGCAATTTTAAATAACAAATCAGTTCATTTACGAAGCAATAACGAATGTTGAGGGGAAATTGTGCTGCTAGTGAAGAAAACTTGTAGAATAAATATTAAGTATTTTTAACGTAAATTATTTATTTGGAAAAATTTTTTATGCAATAATCAATCTATGAATTTCCTGATTCGTTCTTGTTGATTTGAATTTATAATTGACAATTATTGTACATATATATATATATATATATATAATAAGTGACTTTAAATTTTTATCTACTTTTTCTAATAAGTGATAACGATTACATTTAAAAGCTCGCCTATTTGTTTGTATAACAATTATTGTTAAAACATTTAACAATTTTTAAACAAGAAATAAGTTTTTTAAATGTACGTATGTATTAAATAAAAATATAATTTTAATTTAATTTATGATTTTTTAAATAATATTGCTATAATTGACGAAAAACTTTAAAAAGATATAAACATTATATATACTATAATAGTAGTCATATTAAATAATTTCAATATTTATATAATTCTAATATTAATATTTAATATTGAAAATTATCATTTGTAATTTCAAATTAATTATATTATATTATATAATATTATATAATATTTTAACTTTAGTTAATAATTTGAGTATATCAAGTTCAGTACATCAAATATAAAAAAGAAAAAATAATTTCAAATAAAATCAAGTAAAGTTTCAAGAATTCTCAGAAATCCGTAGTGAAGTACCTTTGTAAAATGTAAAATACGAGGTCAACACTATTCCCATCTCTATAATGGATTATTACACCATTCTAGACTATTCTATACATCAACGCAGATCTTTTAAAATACAATAATGATAAAAAAAATTTATTCTAATCGCGTAGAGAGTGATAGCCCATAACGAATTTCTTATGGATATAAATTATTCTTAGACTTTGGTAAGATTACTTTTAATCATAATAAAATA